AAGATTCTGTGCAACCACAGACTAGAACTAATCAACGAATCACAGCGTTTTAGTCATCCATAAAGAAAGCTTAATGAGAATGGTTGCTTTTAAAAATACAGAGTTGAAAATCTGCGTGTATTCAGCACCCAGTTCTGAGTAACAAGTGCTCTATGGAGTAGCCTTGAGGATGTAGAGATAGAGATTCTAGCTCTTTGGGCAGTTCTTAGAAATCCTGTAATCATTCTCTCTCTCTCTCTCTCTCTCTCTGTCTTTCTCTCTCTCTCTCTCTCTCTGTGTGTGTGTGTGTGTGTGTGTGTGTGTGTGTGTTGACTCAGTCTCTAATGCATGTGTGTGCTAAGATGGCTATTTTGTTTCTCCCTTATAAAGAAAGATGCAGGGATTATACTCCCTCTGCTAAATGAGGGTTCCAGGGGAGAGCCCTCTGGCTGATCAAGGACACATTGAAAACCATCACTGTTTTTTGCCTTACAGAACAGGGGCCAGGACTAGAGTGTGGAGAGTGAGGCATTGGTCTCAGGAGCAGAATTTAAGGGGTGAAAACTAATTCAGCAATTAAGATAAATTATGTGCAAATGTGTTAGTTTAAAATATCCAAATTAATTTGCAAGAAAATACATGTATCATGATGAACAAAATGCCAACATTTTAAACAAAGACTAGGTCTGCCCCAGGACTTGTCTGGCTCACGTCACCCCCTTCACCCTAATCTCCACACTGTTAAGAAGTAAGCCTCTATGAGAGCATGTCCTATTTCTACCTCCACTCAGAGAGCTATCGATGTGATATTTTTCGGCCTTTTCAAAGAACCAGGAAATGGTTAAGTTGCATAAAAATTATTAGTGGAAAGGACACAGGCCATCACCAAGAGGAATGGGAGGGAGGACATACCAGTGTGATGTAGTGAGGACTTGAAAAACTGGTGGGCAGGCTTTCCAAGGACTCTGGAGTTGTCTGCTTGTGAAAAGACAGACTGTTAATCTGCAATTCCTAGTAAATATAGAAATACTAAAAGACCCAGATACAATATTCTTGCCTAGATTGTTACCCGACGACACTTGAGTCTATCTAAGGATCTGTCTATAAGGAAAATTTACATATAAAAAAAGTGGTTATTTGTACGTTGTGATATGAATATGATGAGGCAGGTCTGTTAGCCACCAAATCTTACCATCACTAAGGGACTGTATGCCTGAAATTCCACAACCAGACACATTCCTTTGGGATTTGAATGTCTTTGAGAAACTCCACAACTTCCTATTAAAGTACAAAAATTCCTAAATTAAGTTTCCCTCTTTAAAGTGCATCCTGGCTGGGTGCAGTGGCGGCTCATGGCTATGATCTCAGCACTTTGGGAGGCCAAGGCAGGCGGATCACCTGAGGTCGGGAGTTCGAAACCAGCCTGACCAGCATGGAGAAACCCCGTCTGTACTAAAAAAAAAATTAAAAAAAATTAGCTGGGTGTGGTGGCATATGCCTGTTAGCTCCTCGGGAGGCTGAGGCAGGAGAATTGCTTGAACCCAGGAGGCAGAGGTTGTGGTGAGCTGAGATTGTGCCATTGCATTTTAGTCTGGGCAACAAGAGTGAAACTCCATCTCAAAAAAACAAAAATAAAAAATAAAAAAAATAAAGTGCATTCTCATAAATTCCTAGTAGACATTAATACAACTAGAAAGCATGGTCCAGTGGAAGCAGGGCCTGGGAGAGGCACTGGATGCCAGAGCAAGGAGAGAAAAAATAAACAAACAAAAAGCAAGCATCATTAATGTAACAGGTAAAACACACCAAAGATGGATCTTCTACAAGCTCCCAGTGTGGCTGAGAAATGGTCTTTGGTGGGTAACTATGTCAAATAAGCATCAGTTAAATCATCATTGTTTGCAATATTTCATGCCAAAAAAATACAAAAACTCTAAATGTGATGTTTGAGGGTCCAAATTCTGCTATCTGTGTTAATATCATGGTGTATATGCCATCAGCAGCAAACTGAACTTATTCATATATTCAACAGATATTTATTTGTGTTCTGTTCAAGGACCCCTCATTTAACCAAAAAACCAAAAGCCCTTAGAGGAAGCTGAGAATCTGGAATCGTTAACAAATATGTCCTAAGTTCTCTGATTATTCATCACTGACCAGTGCTCAGGCTACCTTTCCTGACCCCTCTCTCTGGAAGTCCATCTCTTTTAACATATTAATTTAAGGAAAATGTAATTAGGAAAGTAACTACAACAGCACATGAGGCATAGTAGTTTTTTTTAAAAAAAACACATGTTGGCTGGGTACAGTGGCTCATGCCTGTAATCCCAGTACTTTGGGAGGCTGAGGTGTGCAGATCACGAGGTCAAGAGATCAAGACCATCCTGGCCAACCTGGTGAAACCCTGTCTTTACTAAAAATACAAAAATTAACTGAACGTGGTGGTGTGTGCCTGTAATCCCAGCTACTTGGGAGTCTGAGACAGGAGATTCACTTGAATCTGGGAGGCAGAGGTTGCTGTGCGCCAATATTGCACCACTGTACTCCAGCCTAGCAACAGAGCCAGACTCCATCTCAAAAAACAAACAAACCCACACATATCGAGTGCTAAATATATACCAATCACCGTGCTACATACATTTACATACAGTTTCTCATTTAAACCTCAGCACAAATGAATGAGAATTATATTAGCATCATGTGCTTTCATTCCTGAAACTTTCAGTGTAAACTTAAAAAAAAATCATAGATTTATTTTGTCCATTCTAATGGACAATTAAGACTCATTTTTACTTTTTGGAGTCACATCTGGCATAAAAAAGAGTATAAGTGGATAAAATGATAAGTAACCATCATACTTAACCAGAGAAAGATCCATTATGGCTATGCTCCAGTGACATTCAGCAGAGGCATTTCCGCTAAAATGTCATATGTGTGTTCTGGGGGATACAGTGAGGGCATGCTCTGCAATGCTGTACAGTAAAAAAACGCAAGGCTTATGGGATGCCGAGGGCCTGGTCAAAGCATTCAGATGTAACAAGACCACCCCACCATCCAAAAATATCCTGATTTTAAAATACTGCCAACATTATATCTGTATTGGCACTTGCATGTGGCAACAGTCACTTAATTATTAGCCTTAAAATTTGGGGCTTTCGATTCCTTCTTTATGATTTAAATCCTAAATCATTTCAAAGAGATAATCTTATCAAGGATGATGCTTTCTTCATCAGCTAATTTTTTAAAAAGCTAATGCCTTTATAGTTTCTTAAACTTTGCTTACAGGTTTTGTGTTGTTTTGTCGTTGTCGTTTGAGACAGGGTGTCACTCTGTAGCCCAGGTTCAGTGGCATGATCATAGTTCATGGCAACCTGACGTTTGGGCTCCAAAGATTTTTGGTGCCTCAGTCTCCCAAGTAGCTAGGGAGTACAGGTGTGCACCATTGTGCTTGGCTGTGTATATACAGACAAAGCCTTGCCATGTTACCCAGCCTGGTCTCAAACTTCTGGCCTCAAATGATCCTCTTGCCTTGGCCTCCTAAAGTGCTGGAATTACAGCTATGAGCCACCGTGCCTGTCCACTCAGTTTTTAAAGTGAGCTGAATGTATTGGGAATCATAGCTGTTGCTACAGTCATTGAGCAAGCTGTGATTAGCAGGGACATCTGCAGAATTTTCAACGTTTTTCTTAGATCTTCATATATTGCTTATATTCCTACTTTACTGAGTTTTTTCTGGAATAGATTTTAGATTTTTTTCAAATATTTTTCCTGCATCTATTGATATGATCAAATGATTATACACTTTCATTGATAATACACTAAATTAGCTTCATTGCTTTTTTGAACGGTGAAGTTTCCTTGCATTACTGCAGTAACACCTGATCATGATGCATTATCCTTTATAATGATCATGATGCATTGTCCTTTATCATGAGATTCAATTGGCTAAAATCTAATAACAATTCGTGCATCTATATTTGTTAGTGTATTGGTTAGTAGTGTTTTCTTCTTGCAATGACTTTGTATAGGTAGGTATCAGAGAAATATTGGCCTCATGAAATAAATTGGAAATTTCCTCCTTCTTTCCAATTATCTGAAAAAGTTTATGTGGAATTCCTGTTAGGTCTTCATGAATTTTTAAATAGAATTCACCAGTAGAGCCATATCGGTCTAATAACATTTTTGTGTGTAGAAAGTTTATCTACAAATTTAACTTACTAGATACAGAGCTATTCAGATTATTTATTTCTTCATGAGTAAACTTTAGTAATCTTTATCTTTTAAAAATTTCCATTTCATTGCACTGTCTAAATCTGTTAAAAAGTTTTTCATAATATTTTCTAATTGTCAACTTAATACTTACGGAATCTTCAGTGATATTGCCTTTCTGATTCTTGGTGTTAAAAATACGTACTAACTAGTTACACTGGCTGGAGGCTTATAAAATTTATTAATCTTCTCAAAATACATTTTTCTGTTTTCTATTTCATTGGTGACCAATCTGACATTTACTTTTTCTTGTCCTCTACATATAAGGCTTCATTTTCTTTATTTTCTCTTGTTTCTTAAAGTAAAAGCTGAGGTATTGATCTTCTACCTTTCTTTTCTAACATAAGCAGGTATAAATTTTCTTCTACTGATTTTACTATAAATTTTCCTCTACTGATTTACTGCATCCACCTGTTTTGGTGTGTTGTATTTAGTTTTTATTTAGGATAAAACACTTTTTAATTTCCCTTTTGAAATTTGAGTTCCTTAGAATTCATTATCTAATTTTCAACTGAGAATTTTTCTAATCAGCAGTATCTTTCCGTTAGTAATTTCTATTGTAATATAATTCTGAGAATATATTTTATATGGCTCTAATCGTTGTTTTTTTTTTTTTTTTCTTTTAGTAGAGATGGGATTTCACCCTGTTTTCCAGGCTGGTCTCAAACTCCTGATCTCAGGTGATCTGCCCATCTCAGCCTCCCAAAGTGCTGGGATTACAGGCATGAGCCACAGCACCTGGCCCAATTGTTTTAAGTTTAGTAAGACTTGCTTTATGGCCCATAATGTGGTTTATACTTGTAAATTTTTCCAACAGTGCACAAGTCAGTATTTTATTCAACCAATATATTCTGCTCTGAAATAGTATCTTGGTTATTGTTCCATATTTGTTTTGAGTACTGACCTCTTTCATTTCCCTACATGTAGATTCAAAGCTTCATGTGTGTAGAACCATGTTAAATTGCTCCTTTGCACTTTTGGCCTCATTTAGCTTAAGAAGGGTTCTACTTTAAACACACACTGTTGAAAATAGAACTTTCTTACATGTAGGAAATGAATTTCTGGCAGGATCGGCTCAGTCTTCCTCTGCTGCTCATCACCAAAGTATCCTTTATTTTCCACTCCCAGGGTTTCTGTAGGTGGGCTGTCAAGAAGGAAATTGAACACTTAATTTATTAGATATAGGGCCTTTCAGGTTACTATTTCTTCATGAGAAAGCTTTAGTAGTTTTTATATTTCAAAAATTTCCATTTTATTACACTGTTAAATGTACTGAAATAATGTTATTTATATTTTTAATTATCAACTTAATACTTGTACAGTCTTCATTGACGTCTCCTTTCTGATTCTTGATGTTGGAAATATCAGAAACTATGGGATAAACTTATGGCTAAAATTAAATCATCTACAAGATTTTTAAAATAATGATGCTCAAGTTGTATCCAATAACAATTAAATCACAATGTCCTCAAACCACATCAATATTTTTTGAAAGATCCATAGGTGATTTCAAAGGGCACAAAGTTTGGGAATTAGCATTGGGATTAGCATCTGGATATAAGCAAGTACATAAAAGCTTGAGTTACTACTATTCTTATCAGATCTTCAGTAAAAAGCCCTTACTCACCCCCATTGAATATACTCTGTGGCTACAAAGCTTATGTATTCTCAGTAACAACTCCCTTCAACACACAGAAAATGCAAATGTACCTGTGAACTTGCTTCAACTTAATACACTTTTGGTAACGAATTAATAGTATGACAACTCCGATACCGGTAATAACCAGGGCAAGCACAACGACTGAGATGACGACATCTGCAACATTAAAAAACATGGGCTTCAGCCAGGGCATCAGTTGCAGAACAGTGAAATATTAACATTTAATGGAGCTGTTACAATGCTACTTATTCCTTTCTATAGGACTTTGATTCTCCTGTCCTCTCAGTTATTTTACGTAAAGTAAAAACCCCAAACATTATATAAATTATCATTTGTATTTGCAACTGAAATTCCACCCAATATTCCATTATATTTAAGGGAACCATGATCATCAGGAAGGGTTTTGGTTGTCAGTTATTAACTATAGAATAGCCCTTGTGTGTTGAGGGTTTGTGGAAGACCTAAGAAAATCTAATTTATCTAGAAGAGACTACATTGGCTCTAGAAGAGGATTGCAGTAAAATCAATTTGGCTGACTATGTAAAATAATAAAAAAGACCATACAAATCCATATAAAAACAAAACAACTAAGTCCAGACTTGAAAAATAAGAAAAACAATTTTTCTTGCTGGGTAGACTTTTGATATATGAAAGATTTTATTTTAGGATGCTCACTGGTAACATTTAAGGTTTCTTCCCAGGCTACAGGTGCCTGTCCTTCTTCACAGTGGCACTGGAGTCCATGGTCATCCATCTGGAAAAGCAGCCAATGATATTTTCTCAAATGACTAATATAAATTGTGTTCTGCAGCTCACCTAGGTTGGTGCTACCTCTACATTAGACATACATGTACACAAGCACACACACATACACATTTTTTTTATTAGCTAATTAAACTACCTAACAAAATTAATGATGCATAAAAATAAGTAAACAAATTACAGGAATCAATCATCTTTGAAAAAGGCCTTTGAATAAGAGAATGATACTGACAAAGTCAATGACAGATGAACAAGACAGCATGATTTATCTTTCCAGAAAGCTCCCTTGTCATTAAATCAACAGCCCCTGTTAGAGCTGGATACATCATAGCTGAAGATCAGGCTCCAACTAAGCTTAGTAATTATGAGGTAATTTCGATGTGGGAAAAATGTAGTCTTTCTAAATTTAAATCCCAGCTTTTCCCATAACCTTTTAAGGTGATTATGAAGATTTTAAAACTTTATGTGTGTGTGTGTGTGTGTGTGTGTGTGTGTGTGTGTGTGTGTATTACTATATAAGTGTTACTGATTAACCCAGCTTATGAGAGATGTTATGCACAAACTGTTAGTAATTGCTGGTATTAAATTGTGTTAATTAAGTGAAAAAATATATGTTTGTTGATTTTCTCAAAAGCGTAACTTGACGTTGGTGTAATTTAACTATAAGGTATGTTGCAATAGATTCAACTTTAAACACCAGATTTAAACTTTATATATACATAAATTGCTGAATTTCTAGATAGCCAGTCCAATAATGAAAGCTTTACTTGTAATACTGGCTATATCTGTGTGTAATAATATGTGGTTTTGCTCCCTGGATCAATGTTGTTGATAACATATGAAAAAATCCCAAATATATGTTTGATTTAAAAAGCAGAAAACATACATATACACATACATATACATGCACATACAGACTGAGGAATAAATTAAATATATGGCTGATAAAACGTTAATTTTAAAAGAAGTCAAACCTTACAGCATTTTCATGGCACTGAGAAGAGCAATTGGTTGAGTTGTAGACCTTTTCCATGTTTAGACATTCACCAATGCTGCACACCTAGAAATGAAGCAACCAAGCATGAGTTAAAATGGCTTACAATTCATGTGAAATTGTAATTTCACATAATTCATGTGACGTGTACAATTTTGCTTGTAATTTACATGTGAAAAATTTCAATTTACATGAGTTAATTACAAGTTATGTAATTTTTCCTGTTGTAAAATTCCACACGTAGTAACTTCTGTGGATAAAGAAATCCCCTATAAATGTTCGAGGAATATACTGTACATGCAAACAAATATTTTAAACTCATTAGTTATTAAGTGTTTATGTTCTTAGTAATTCTCTCAATGTTAATCTGTCAAAGATTCTAAAACTGCAATCACAACAGTTTCTTTTGTTTCAGTGAAGTTTTTCTTTTGATTTGGTTTAACAGTGTATGTTTATTATACCACAGTTGCTGGTTGGGTATTTTATTAATATCAATTAATCTTTTTGTGTTTAATATTTTTGTTTCAAATTTTCCTTTGTCTTGGTAAATTTTATCAACAAAATATTATTGGTTTTGTTATTTTTGGTCTTTGGTGGTTCATCTTCACTTAATTTTTAATTATTTTTAATTTTATTTATAATTAAACATTTATTTATTGGCACCAATTCAAAGATTATATTTACATTTTGTATAGGGAGAACTTAATCCATTCATATTTATTGTAATAAGGGGTCTATATAGTCTTTCTCCTTTCATTTTTATTACTTGATTTCCAATATTAGACATTGTAGCATACCTTTTACTATATTTGTCACTTTTATTTGGCTATTGTTTTCTCTGATTTGAAAGCTATACATGCTAGTTTCTAAATATTGATTTGGTTTATATTAATATATTTTAATCTAAACAATTCTGTCATTTTCAAGAAAAAAATCAGCATTAATTCCTCCTTCTGTAAGATAAGAAATTTATCATGTTTTTACTTATTTCCTCTTTCTCTCAGTTCAAGTTTTTGATTGAGTAAATGAGATTCTAGGTTGTGAAAATTATTTGTTATTCATGAGATTATTTACATTCTTGTAATAAATATATTACAATAAATAACTAAAATTTACTCAAAAGTTTTACAGATTTTGTTGCTTGTAATCATTCCCTTAATATCCTACCTCCTCATTTTACCTTCTTAATTTTAATTTATTTCTCAGTTGGCCAGAATATGTCCTTGACTATTTTTCTTTTCAGAAAATAAGAGCAGTTTATATATTTCTATATATTTTATAAGTCATGATGTGTGTGAGAGTATCATTCTGTTGCTTTCCTGTCTGAATAATAACTTGGCTGTATACATAGTTTTAGGGTCCTAACAATTATATTTTCAAATCTCTGCAGACATTGCTCCATTATCTTCTGGATACTTGTTGCAGAGAAGTTTTATGGTAACCTGATCTTTCTTCCTGAGGAAAATTAATGGCCTTTTCTCCTTTGTGCTATCACGTGTATTCTTTATTCTTGACATTCAAGGCATGAGAGTAAGTAAAAGCACTCATCTCTTTCTACAAATTTTTCCTGGCACTAAGTGAATTTTTCATATATTCTTCAGATCAGGGACACATTATGATTATTTCATTAATTATATTTTCACCTCTCTTCTGCTTTTTTAAAAAAAATTTATAATCCATATTAAATCTTTAATGAATGTTTTAGAACTCTATTTCCTGCTTTTACCTATTTTCTTTGATTTTTGAAATTCCTTTGTCTTATTCTGTGTTAAGAAGTTTAGCTTCTAACTTACTGATCTTTTTTTGTAATATCCATTCAGTGCTTTACTCTCCACATTACATATAAACCAGCAATCATGACATTTTGTACTTTGAAGGCAATGCTCTTTGATCTCCAATTATACTGTTTCATATACATTTAATATCTTTTAAAATTTCATCCAAAAACTTAACTTTTTCTTAATAAAGGAGGAAATCTTTGAACATTGTATTAGTTTATTTTCATGCTGCTGGTAAAGACATATGTGAGACTGCTCAATGTACAAAAGAAAGAGGTTTAATTGGACTTATATTTCTACATGGCTTGGGAAGCCTTACAATCATGGTAGAAGGCAAGGAGGAGCAAGTCATGTCTTACATGGATGGCAGCAAGCAAACAGAACTTGTGCAGGATAACTCCCCCTTATAGTAAGCATCAGATCTCATGAGACTTACTCACTATCATGAGAACAGCATGAGAAAGACCTGCCCCCATGATTCCGTTACCTCCCATTGGGTCCCTCCCACGATGTGTGGGAATTCAAGCTGAGATTTGGGTCAGGACAAGCCAAACCGTATCATTCCACCCCAGCACCTCCCAAACCTCGAGTCCTCACATTTTAAAACCAAGCATGCCTTCCCAACAGTCTCCAAAATCTTAACTCATTTCAGCATTAACTCAAAAGTCCATAGTCCAAAGTCTCATCCAATACAAGGCAAATCCCTTTCACCTATAAGCTTGTAAAATCAAAAGCAAGTAACTTACTTCTTGGATACAGTGGCAGTACAGGCATTGGATAAATGCAGCCATTGCAAATGAGAGAAATTGGCCAAAACAAAGGACCTAACAGGCCCCATACAAGTCTGAAATCCAGTGGGCCAATCAAATCTTAAAGCTCCAAAATGATCTTCTTTGACTCCATGTCTCACATCCAGGTCACACGGATACAAGAGGTGGGTTCACATAGCCTCAGGCAGCTTGGTTTCTGTGGCTTTGCAGGGTACAGCCTCTCTCCTGGCTGCTTCTATGGGCTGACATTGAGTGTCTGCAGCTTTTCCAGGTGCACAGTCCAAACTGTGGGTGGATCTACCATCCTGGGGTCTGGAGGATAGTGGCCCTCTTCTCACAGCTCCACTAGGCAGTGCCCCAGCAGGAACTATGTGAGGGGGATCTGACCCTACATTTCCCATCAACACTGCCCTAGCAGAGGTTCTCCATGAGGGCCCTGCCCCTGCAGGAAACTTTTGCCTGGGCATCCAGGCATTTTCACGCATCTTCTGAAATCTAAGTCTAGGTTCCCAAACCTCAGTTCTGTACTTCTGTGCACCCACAGGCTCAACACCACATGGAGACTGCCAAGACCTGGGGTTTCCACCCACTGAAGCAACAACCCAAGCTGTACCTTGGCCCCTTTTAGTCACAGCTGGAGTGACTAAGGTGCAAGGCACCAAGATCCTAGACTGCACACAGCACGGGGATCCTGGGCCTGGCCCACCAAACAATTCTCTCCTAGGCCTCTGCGCCTGTGATAGGAGGGGCTGCCATGAAGCCCTCTAACATGACCTCTGGAGACATTTTCCCCATTGTTTTTGAGATTAACATTTGGCTTCTCATTTCTTATGCATATATCTGAAGTCAGCTTCAGTTTCTCCTCAGAAAATGGGTTTTTCATTTCTATCATATTGTCAGGCTGCAAATTTTCTGAACTTTTATGCTCTGCTTCCCTTATAAAACTGAATGCCTTTCACAGCACCCAAGTCACCTCTTGAATGCTTTGCTGCTTAGAAATTTCTTCTGCCATATACCCTAAATCATCTCTCTTCGGTTCAAATTTCCACAAATCTCTAGGGTAGGAGCAAAATGCCACCAGTGTCTTTGCTAAAACATAATAAGAATTATCTTTGCTCCAGTTTCACCTTAAACTCACCTTTACTTGAAATGACGATTGAGACTGAATGATTTTTATTTTATTCTTTAAATTCATTCATTCTTTATTCTGTTCCCTCCATTCTTCTGTTGAACTCATTCACTGAATTTTTGTATTCCAGGATTGTATTTTTTTCGGTTCTAAAATTTTTATTTGGTTCTTAGATTTTACACATCTTTGCTGGAACTTTCTTTTACTTTGCTGAGACCTATTTTTTTTTTTTTTAATTTCAAGCATGTGTGTAATTGTTCACTGAAGCATTTTTATAAAGGCTGCTTTAAATTCCTTATCAGGTAAATCCAACATATGTGTCACCATGTTGTTGAATGTGGAGATTGTCTTTTGTCATTTCAGTTGATATTTTTGTGGTTTTTTGTGTAGGAGTGGCATTCATATGTATTCTAGATACTTTGAGGACTATGAGGTATGGGATCTTATTCCAATCTGTTGTTTTAGCAAGCCTTTTCTAAAACTGTTCTTGTAAGGGAACAGAATCCCTGTGTCACTCCTGCCAGCTGGGGTGGAAACCCAGCCTCCTCACATACCTTCATGACACAACAGGGTTGGAAGAATTCATCACCCCTGAGCTGTAGTGAATATCCTGACTCCCATAAGCCTTTGCTGAAACCCTGTGTGGAGGCCAGGCATCTGTCAGAGCTGGAAGAAAATGAAGTCTGGGTTTCCCACTTGATCCTTGCTGATGTAGGGGGAGTCAGACCACAGATTTTTTCACTGATGTTTGGCTGGAGTGGGACAATTACTACCAAAATGTTTTCTGTCTTATTAGCCTACTCCTTTGCTTGTCTTTTGCTTTTAGAGAAGCCCTGCTCAAACAACAGATTTGAATAAGATCCCATAGCTCATAGTCTAAAAATAGCATTTCAGTGCCAAAAGGAAGATTTTTTCACTCACATCATTGTGATATTCACATAAACCAGCATTTACTATGCGTGAATTTCCTCGTTAGAAAATGGCCAGAGAACTGGCACCACTGTGATGGATGTACTTCTGCCCTAGGCCTTCTGTTGAAGGATTAAGCCTTCTATGCAGAGTACATGGTCACAACGTACTTAGGAGATGGAGATGGATTCCTTAAAAACTGCCTTTCTATCAGCTCCTTTCTTCAGCCCTTGCCACTCTTAAAGAAGGGAGCACTTTATATCTCAGGCTCGTTTTTCATCTCTGAAGTGAATAGCAAATCTTTTGGTATTTTCTTCAACCTGAGGCTTCACACTTTGTCTTATTCAGTATCTTTGAATTTTTTAGTTTTATGGTTAGCATACACACCTTAACTTTCACAAATATAAATTTCTTAGCATGTTGATATTCATTTAATCATTTTAATGGGAAGGAGTGTAGCTAAATATATAGACTCAAAATATAAGTCTCTATGAAATATTTAGTTCTAATTCTTTTTTTTTTAACATTCTGAACTTTGGTTTTCAATTTATTTCTCTATCACACTGTACAAATGTCACTGTAATATTTTTGGTGATAGTGTAGAGACAGAGGGGGAGACATACCACAAGGAGAAACTACTCAATTTCAAATAGCTGATTTTTGGAGTAATCAGCTATTTGATTGTGCTTCCCCTATATTCTTTGTGAGCCAGCTAATGTTTAGAGGATGCATTCTAATATTGTTGTCTTGCTGTAAAAACCTCTTTCCAATTTGGCCCCGTTCTGTCTTAATTTCATCTTTTACCATTTAACCCAAAGGTCAAGCCACTCTGAAATTGCTGGTTATCTGAATTATTCCATACACTTCGTACCTTTGCATATTGTGCAGGCATTTTTTGCTAAAATGTCTTCTTCCATTTTCTGTGTGTTCAAATGTTCATCAAGTTAAAGCTGAAATGTTACTCATTTAAGATGCCATTTCATCTTCTGTAAGCAAAGTCATGCACTTTTTCCTTTAGTCATGAATGTACGTTGGTCACACCAAGAAAACACTTTTGTTAAACTATAATTATTTAATTTTTAGCGTATGAAATTCTCATGTATGCTTACCTTTCATGTACAGTCAGTGGCACCATAGTACTTGGCCAGTAGATACGGTTGAATGAATAAAATAAATGAAGTATGTGAGGCTACTTATAGTCACATTAATTAGAATAATTTACATCTATAATTTCATTAGATATCCATTGTAAGTTACTAATTAAGCACATTTGTAACAATTATGTATCATTTGGCATGACTAAAGTTAGGCAAAATGGATGTTTATTACAGTGTTACTGCTACTCTGCTCCTCATTAAAAAAATACTTTTCAATATTTTTTCCTTTTCCATATCTAGGCCCCTTTGGAACCAATTACAGTATCCAACAATTTTTTGAAAGGATTGAACTAAGAAGTTTTAATAAAACAAAAGGCTTTTGTCTTACCATTCCATCTCCGCATTTTGTTCCTGAAGCCACTAGGCCAACGTCTCTAGAATCATGGTATAAAAAACTGGTTTTGCATTCGACAGTAACATTCTGCTGGGGATCCATAAGGTGATAGGTCTTGTCTTCTCCAAGGACAGAGGAATGGTCCCCTCCAGTGCAGTAGACCTTTCCACATCTGACATCTCTGAAGGAAAGGGAGAATAGTCACACTTGGAATTAGAAACACAACTTTTGAGACTAGGCTGGCAATGAAGCCGCCTGGCCACTTTTTGTCTAGATCCAGATTTCTCAGCAAGTTAAGGAGGCTGGGATGGGCAGAAAAAAAACACTGGGCAAAGTCTTGGTCCAGGGAACTGAGATGAGTCAGTAAAAAATATAAAATGATCGCATTTCTTTTGGATTTCCATGTGAACCTCACTAAGCAATGTTGACTTAAGTTTACAGAAGATATTTCTTATTAGTAATTTAAATTATCATCATTTTAATCAAGATGCTAAGATTTCCTTCTTATTTCCTGTTCCCCTCTTCTCCCAATCTCAGTAAAAAGAGGTTAACAGCTATGGGAACAGGAGCTATTCTGATTTTGGAAAAACACTGTAAGAAGGCAAATTACTTTTTTTCCACAGGGCACTTACTTCTCTTCACAGGGAAGAAATCTATTTTCCTTGTTTTTGCAGTATCCAAATTTATTTCCTTTTGTATTCATCTCGTAGCAGATATCATGACTTTCTGTTGCCTCTGGGGTAAAAAATTGTATAAAAGTAAAACAATAAAAGCATGAATATCATGAATCATAAAATACCTTAATTTTCTAATGTAATTAAACTTCCAGGATCATGTCATAGTGAAGTAGAATGTAATAAATTATTTTAAAACTATCTTCCTGTTGCCTTAGGATAATACTTTAGGCTGGAGGTAGAAAACAGTAACAAATGTACAGAGCTCACATACTGAGATAGTCAGTTAATACTGATGTAATATCAACTCATATTGGAGGTAATAGCCAGAGAAATGCTAAGCAATATCTTGGAATAATGCCACAGATGGTGTTATCTCTGATCTTGACCCAATTCCTATAGGGAAATAACAGAAATATAGGCCATCATCTGTGTGAATCATTCACTGTGATTGTCTCTCACCATCATCAAATAATTCAGAGCATTGATCCCCACGAGTGGGACACTTCCCCATGAAGCAGTAGCCTTCTGAGTTCTTGCAAGGAAATCCATTGACTCTGAACTGGTCCATAGGACATGCAGGCGAGTGGCCGGTGCACATTTCAGGAAAATCACATTCATCTTTCGCTGGTCTGCATATGGACCCTGCTTTTTTAATCTGTTGAGGAAAAACAAAAAGGTTCCTGAATACATTTAGGTCGGTAAGGTTTTGTAAGTGGGTAGAAAGTTGATGTATTTATCTTAAAAAGGTTTTAAGAATAGATCATAACTTCCTTCTTCATTCCACCAAGAATCATTATCATTTGTAAATGCGTTGGCACTCATGTGATCTTAGGAATGACAATGCTGTTTTTGAAATCTGGTATTAGAACAGCCTTAGGTAGAGTTGGGATGTACATCAGATGAAGAAATGGGCAGGTGTTTTTATTTTTCTTGTCTTGTCTTTGTCCCACGGGATTCAGTACACCATCTCCCTGCCCCTACCCACCTCGAACTGGGAACCCCTACCTATGATGAGGAAATCTCCAGTCTCAGTGAATCAAATTCCTGCATATGAGCTGGAAAAAAATACCCTTGCTTTCTCTCCTGGAGGGAACTGCACAGAGATAATATCTCATTCAGCCATTCAATACGAATTTGATTACGCTGGGTTCTAGATGAATTTGAAGATGCATAAGACATGTTTGTGTTCTTTATGAGTTTATAACATATTGGGTGAAAGAAGCGTCAATAAACCCCAGGACAGAGCCATTGGGGTTTCCAGTTGTCTTCCTTAGTAATGTTTCTCTACTTACTAGCCACTACCACTTTCCAATCCTAAAAAAAAAGCCCTTTCCCTTTTAGCTCCCGCTTGGGAGTTCACCTATCCTCTCAGCTAAGGTTAAACAGATTGGTGATTATTTACAAAGGAGCAAGGAAAGAGTTGGTCATTTGACTTCCCTCCTAAAACTCCAATTGCTTCTTGAAGTTTCACCACTCCCCAAGCCATAGCACAGCCCAATGCTCAGATGTTGGAGCATCTCACAGGAATCTCTGTTGGGTACTTGCAAGCCTAGCTTCATTCTGGAATCAATGGTGCAGGGTTCTCCAATGGTTAGATAACTCTTGGATCCTACATACTCTTAAACTGAAAAAACGCTTCTCCTGGCAATGTAGACCTTGTCACGACCTTACCTGACAAGATTCACAGCATTCTCCTTCTGCACAAGTAAATCCTGGCTTCAGTACACATGTGTGTGCATCACAGCAAGGATTAGTACACTCCTGGCAATAATCACAAAAGAAAGTTGAGAAGTTGGTATGTGCTTTGACTCCTGTTTGAAGAATTAATTAGTTCTGCTTCTGTGTAATCTGCTAGACTTAAATACTAAGGCATGATTGTTGGCTATGGTGTATACATAAAGATTACTGTTTGGAACTGCTGTTTGGGACTTTCACTGTGTCTCCTTCTCTCATGCTATTCGGTACATTACATGTAATGGATTCTCATTGACAGAATTAGTGAGTCCAACATTTGTAATCTTCCACTATCCTAATGATCTCCATTTCCTTGAAGGGTCTTAACGCTTCCCTGTACTGAAGTGTGATGTGAGATAGTTCAGCTGCTGAAGATCTGGTTTTACCTTTTGCTCAAGCTGCCAGATGATTCTGGCTCACTTTTATTTTTTGATATATCATTAAATAGCATCAAAACGGTAATTTATGCCCTGTTTTCTCAAATAAAATTAAAATCTCAAAGAAAATGGAGTCTGTCTGGATAAGGTACCTCACATGTAAGAATGAATTCATGGAACCATTCCAAAGAATGCATATGGACTGGAGAATTTGTTTCCAAAATTAAGCACCTCATTACATTTAAGCTGAGACATTTGAAGACATTCTTATGCCCTTTGGACAGGTCACTGTTTCCAGTCTGATTATGGAGTCTCTGACAGTCCTTGAATTGTGCATTATCTAGACTGTAGATAACAAAATTGTGGTCTTCTGGCCAGCAACATCAGTGTAACCTTGCAGCTAGGTAGGTATGCAGAATCTGAGCACCACTCCACACTTACTGAATCTGAGTCTATATTTTAACAGTGTCCCCTGGTGATTCATCTGCACTTATTAATTTGAGAGGCAGTTGTCTAGAACACACACCTATGTGATAAGGTCTTAAAACAAATAGCATCTATGTTGGGGAAAAGCACATCAAGAATCACTTTCAAATTTGCCTCAAGGGCTTTTCCTAAATGCTCCAGAGACCACAGCTACAATAAATACATGAAACAGTAGAAGGTTTCTGCTCTATTAAGAAAAAGATTTCTGCTCTATTAAGAAAGAGTTTTCTAATACAGTTAGAACTGTCCAACTGTGATACAGGTTTGACTCATAAGTTAGTAAATAAAGCTTGATTGAGTAAGAGATTTTGTAGAGCAGATTCCAACTGTGCATGAGAGATCAGACTTAAGGACACTTATGGGCCCTCTGACAAGCAGAACCAATGACATATAAATAGGAAAGGTGATGCTGCTAGTCTGCAGCAAGGTCACTACCCATGATTTATGACTTGTTAAGAAGCCTTGGGATGCACCAATAATTTGTTTTATAAAATAAAGATGGAAAGCAAAATTTTAAAAAGTGTTACAAGGAACACTGTGGTTGATTGGATTAATGGCCGTGATCTGCCTAGGTTCTACCTGGTCATAAACTTTGCACTTTAAAGATCATATCATTTGTACATACCTGGCTACTGCCACAGTCACATTCTTCACCCTCATCCACCCTCTTGTTTCCACAGTATTGGAAATCATCGAGATTGTAAGGAAACGGAATGTTGAGCATGCATGTTGGCTTGTAATCCTTCAGGTATTGCCCGTATTGGTCTTGGCTGCACTTACTGAATTTTAGTGCAGGAATGCTAGAGATAGGATGAGGTAAAATAAAGATTAGTCATATCCACGCAGAGTGCTACAGCAGCTGTGAGCATTTTATGAAGCATTTAGAAAGAACCAATGTAAATGTAAGTAACTGGGTTCTTTATTATAGAAAATACCTTCTCAAAACACAGCTAACCCATGCTATTTTAGCAAAAATATCTTGGCTGTACAGCTTCCAGCAAATCCTTCCTGAAGCCCACGTTATTGCCTGATTTTCTATGTTCACTGCTTCTATAGCCTCTTTAATTTGGTCCCCTTGAAATAACCTGTGTACTTGTTCAGCATCCCTACTTGATTGCAAGCATCTCAAAGCAATAATTGTATCATGTGCGATTTAAAAACAAAACAAAACAGAACAAAACACTAGTTAACACAGTGCCTGGCACAAAGTGGTTCTCTGAAAATTTGTTAGGACAAACGGTGTATTTAATAATACTCATATCTTTAAGAATGTTATATACTTCTTAAAATGAAATCTGTCTCCCTTCCATCTTCCTTTTCTTTTGATTCCCTTAACATTTTTATTGACTTAATAATTAAATACAGTAGGACTTTAGAATCTTGATTTCATTAGACTAAGATGGTAGGACTCTGAATAATATTACTAATTATGTAAATAATAATGTAAAGCTAAATATTAATTACTGAGTTCTTACTCTATGCCATTCATCACATTTGGGTGTGTTAGCCACTTTACTTCATTTAATTGGTGTTTGGAAGCATTGGTCTTTAAGAAACTTTTCTTACTATATATAATGCTTTATATATACCTGCTATGAAGGAATTCAGAGTTATGCAAGACTTAGAACCTGACTGCATGGTAATTTGCAGTACAGTGGGGAATGCTGGACAGTCATTTATTCTGTTACTATTTATGGTGTATCTAATATGTGCTTGGGACTTTTCTAGTACAATGGTGATGTAACAGTGATCCAAACAAATAAAATCCTCTGACCTTGGGAGACTAGCTTATATTCTAGCAGAAGAGTACAATTATAAATAAGCTAAATGCATAAAACAGAGAATATGCTAGATAGTAGTAAGTACGAAGGAGAAGACAAAAAACAAAAGGAGTGGGAGTTGAAATGCCAAGATATATGTGTGCTCTAGATCAGGGGGCCAGAGCAAACTTTGGTGGGACAAACATTTGAGTAAAGACGTGAAAGAAGACATTATAGCTGATAGAAAAGATGACAAAACAAGGCATACAGTCTATTTCTCCCCTAATTGCCTTAGTAGTGATTGGTACTAATTGTTCAGGGTACACTTTTGCAATGCACCTAGAAGGAGTTTTGGAATTTCTCTCACGGTATCACCATACAGAAACACTACCAGTTGGCAAGATTTAGCTTCAGAAGAAAAACTCCCATGCTTAGTTTATTATGTAACAGATTTTTTAGGAAATTCCATGGCATAACAACATATGCTGCAATAATGGATTTTGACTTGAAGTCCACTTCTGAAATATTTAAGTGTATTCTCTATATTGTTAGAACCTCACCTTCCATCGCTGTCCATCACACATTTTCCTGAAGGACAGGTACATGGGAACTCATCATGCTGCATCCCGAGGCTGTGCCCCAATTGATGGGCCATTCTGTTTGCAACTATATTTGTGTCAGGTAAAAGATCCTGATAAAACAACAACAACAACAACAACAACAACAACAATTGACTTAGAAATTTTTGAAAGATAGTACATAGTGCTTTTTTTTATTACATAGTGTATTACATAGTGCTTCAAACTAGTGGTTGAAAAACCTGGTTTCTAGCTCCTGGTTAACTGGTACCTATTTAAAAAGGCATGGACTGAATTACTTCTGTCCCCTGTATCTCATTTTGTTTAATTATATAATTAAGCCAAGAAAGTGACTTTTTAAGTACCTGTAGCTCTAACATTTTGAGTTTATTTCTTTGTGGCTTAATAATAGTCATTGTTAAATTTATAGAAACTCATTCTTATAAATAGCTAAAAACTGTTAGCTCTTCAAAGTTCATATGTTGAAGGAATAAAACTAACCTCAAGGTGATGACAATAGGAGGTGAAGTCTTTGGACAGTGATTAAGTCATGGGGGGAGAGCCCTCATAAGTGGGATTAACGGTCTTATAAAAGAGGCTTGAAGGAGATCCCCTTCTCCTTCTACCATGTCAGGACACAGCAAGAAGGTGTCAACTATGAGCCAGAGAGGCTTCACCAGACGCCCAATCTGCTAAGGCCTTGATCTTGGATTTCCTAGCCTCTGGAACTGTGAGAAATAAAATCTCTATTGTTTCTTAGTCATTCATTCATGACATTTTGTTAAAACAGCTAGAATGAACTAAGATAAATATCCTACACGATATAAGAAATAATATTGTCTTCTTTGTACTAGATATTCAAATTTGATACAAATAAAAATATGTGAGGTTCTCATTTTCAATGTATAGTCTCACATGGCATAACAAGGCTATACAATCTTAAAGAGGAAGTTTCTATTATGAGAAAAACTTAAATGTCAGAGATATCCATGGAAGAATTAGTTGTTAACTGCTTTAATTTCTATGTTAATAAAAAATTAATTTCCTAAAAGAAGTAGACTATCAGATTACTATAAAGCTAATCAAACACGCCAAATTTAATCAACTCATCTTACTCACACAAAGTTTAACATGTGTCCTGGAGTGGTTATAATATCATAATCTAGTCTAAGTAGCATAATCTAACAGCATATATCAGATTAAATTGACTTTATGATTCAAAACTTATGTTACTGAAATACCATAGGAAAATGTATAAGCATAAAAATAGCTATATAATAAATATGTCATGTGGTCATTTAAATAAGTACTAGCTTTTAAGTTTTTGGTTTTAATGCCAGAAATGGCATAGCAACAACTAGGCAGCAACATAAAGGAAATAAATAGAAACCTTAATGTTTTCAAGAATCTCTCACATGGGTTTACTTGGACAACATTTACTAGAAGCTTAGAGACTTTGGAAAGGATCACATAAACAGAGTCAACAGTTTATAGGTCTTATGCTTTCTAAAAGTAAATTGAAAGGCTGTCTTGAAATGCTTTATGAAGTGGTTTATGTTTCTCATTAACATCACAAGAACAATTATCTTCACTTGTTAAATGAGCCGTCAACTTTTGTGGACATTATTTGTCCTTATAAATAGCATATGTCATATGCAAAGGAGCTTTACTAATCATTGCATGCTGATCTGTGCTATGCCATCCTTCCAAACTCTGAACAAAACTAGTTTACCTTCAATATTTATATATAACTTTTAATGAGAAATTTTTACTCATTTAATAAAGAAAACAAAACAGTCTATTTGTGACATATCTTCCTGAGTATATATGAGAAAATGGACACATGGTCTCTTTCCATGGAACTCAGGACATTACAGAAATTTTATTCAAACATTTTTGATTAGGCAATAATAAATAAAACACAGCCCACCTTAATGACACTGGAGGAATAATAGGGCAGGCACATACCCCCTGGATAAGAAATTCCTTGCACATGTGTGTAGAGCCACTTCCCACTATGGAAAAGATGCAAATATACTCTTCAATCTGAGTTCATAGTTTAGTTAACACAAAGATCAAATTGCAGTGAACCCCAACAATGCCAATGCTTTTGCTTGTGAAAATGCCTTCTTCTTTTTGGAGTTTTGGAATTGAGGCTGACCTTAGTTGATATTGAGCTCATCTTTAATCTGTGGGATATTAGAGGCATTGAAAAAGCCAGTGCAATCTTAAGCTGACATTATAGAAAGGTATAAAACAAAAACAAAAAAATACAAATCAAAAAATAAAATTGAAATCCCATTTTACCTGACTCTAGTCTACTCTGCCCTCAGCTTTGGAAGAAACCACTTACAAGATGAGAAATTAATTAATTAATGAAGTTTAAAAGTGCTTAGAAGGAAAAAAATAAGTAACACAGTGAATGGACTTAACACCATGATTGATTAGCTGTGATTGAAAAGCATTAAGACTTTTAATCAACTGTAGAAACTCAGGTAGGATTTGATAGCTATAATAAAACAATGAAGGAGTTGTCAGACAAAATGAGGACTGTCGTTGGATTACTTGAAAAGACAAATATAGATATTTATACTATAGGAATCCAAATTTGATTTGATTTCAGGAATGGTATTTAGAGTTGAACCACTTCAAAAAGAGCCTTTTAAAGGCTGAAGGGCCATACCTGGAATGTAATAGAACTCAAAGACAAGAAAGGTGGTCAGATTAGATGACCCTTTACAGTCTTTACTTTTTGGTTAAGATACGCTCCATATATTTTTTTTAATAATTGAAATGTTTCTCTTCCTACACTTAAGGCATCAGTATTTGACCATCAGTATTTGAAATTGACTATACCGTGATAATGCCATATATACTGTCTTGCCTCTTCTATATCTAAGGGAATACAGAAGGAAAGACACCCAAGAAGCTTTTAACATGTAAGAAGACCCAAACATGATGCTTACTTGGCTATTTAGTAGCATTTCACCCTATCTCCTTACTTGCAGGCATCCTATTGATGTGAGATGCTACTGGTTAGAATAGAAGGTATTCTAAGGAAGTTAAACAGTTTTCTACTTATACCCATTCAAAATATTGTTGGTTTTATTTATTAAGTATTTAAAAATACATGTATAAGGAGAGGACAAAGTAGTTAGTCTTACCCACTCTGAAATTTATGGTGAAACTTTGCTACTCTCTATTCCCCATGATTTTGGGGCATGCTAATGCATGAATATTGAAGTCCAAGCCCAGGCACAACTATGCTTCTCGAGATACATGCTGTGGGCCATCCCAGATATAAAAACCAGAAATTACATTACTTTGGAGGTCTGATTCACTCTCATGAATCTGCCAAAGGACTGAATCTGACTTCTGACTACAGGTATTGGAAACTTCAGGGTTTTGAGTTCATACTGAAAGCCAACACTTAAATAATAATAGATTACCAGGCTGGGTTTGCAGGCCTCAGGGGAAATAACAGTATTATGGGTACATAAAGTAGGAAAAGTGGATACTATTCTAATACAGTAGCTTTAAGGGCATCAGAAAAAATGCTAAAAGATGGCATTGCTCCAAAGTAGTTCTTCCACAATTTAGCATTCTTTAGGATTACAGGACTGCACTAAATACTAGTTTATATTAGATTCAGTTCCATAATTACCTATCCTTTTCCTCTGGGTGAAGAACTGTGCTAGGTATCTTGAATAACAAAAATAATAAAAGTCCCCTTTTTAAATAAATTAAAGATTGAGTAGTCTAGACAAAGTCACACTTTTACTTGGGCATATTAAAGCTGTGACAGGTTTCACTTATCAGATAAGGTTCCTGTTCAATTATATAGTAGAGAAGATGGTATTGAAGGACTGGTCACTAGGTAGGCAGATTTTGATGAGGGGAATGTCCAGAAAGTGAGGTGCTTTCCCAAAAAGGCAGGTTTTGGTAAGATATTAGAATGGGACAACACTGGGAGGGTGGGAGGAGTTAGCACTGGATGCTGATAAGAAATGTAAATGGATTCCAAAAGCACTTTGTTTACCTAATGGCATTTTAAGCCTACCAAGCAATATGAAAATATTAGAATTTTTCTTTTCTGGTATTAATGTTAGAAAGATTATGAAGTAGTCCACTTGAAAACTTCTATTTATTTATTATTTATTTATTGAGACAGGGTCTCTCTTTGTCACTCAGGCTGGAGTGCAGTAGCACAGTCACAGCTCATGTTAGCCTTAACCTCCTGGATTCAAGAGATCCTCCAGCCTTAGCCTCCCAAGTAGCTGGTACCACAGGTGTATGCTACCATGCTTAGCTAATTTTTAATTTTTTTGTACAGATGGGGTCTGGTATGTTGCCTGGGACTGGTCTTGAACTCCTAGGCTAGAACGATCTTCCCACTTTGGTTTCCTAAAATGTTGGGATTAAAGGTATAAGCCACTGTGCTTCGTTGGAAAATTTTTGTATAGCTACAAATAGCATTTTGTCCCTGTGTACTACCCAAAAGTCAACTGCTTTAAAAGTTTGTTTTTTTTTTCCGTTCAGTTTTGTGTTTTCTTTTGTAATAATCCACCTACAATCTGCAAGGAAATAGAGCAGTCACCAACCTGAGTAATAGAACATGATCAAAATCCTTCCTTGTTTTAAGAATCCTTTCTTGCCAAGCTGAAAAATGCAACAAGGTAGTTTCTATATTTGAATGCAGTTCTATTTTATCTCCCTGTGTCCATATTTCAACACCAACCAACGTCACATGGATGTTTAAGGTTTTATAAATCTGTTAAAAAATCATTTTTCACAAAGTCAAGTTGCTAGAAAGGTTCTTCTGCATTACTATATTCCTCTATGTTTCCCCATAAACAATAACTTGAACGTGTGAGGTACATAAGGAGATGGTGAAAGCCTTATTTTACAAATAGATGTATCAAAGTGGAACAGAGAGTGCATTGCCCAGAATACCTGATGAATTTTCTGGTCAACAATAAAACTTGATCAGAAAGGTCTGCTTCCTTGAACTGTCATTAAGTCTTACAGGCATCGTCTCAGGATGTGCTGGAAGAATTTGTTGAAGTTCTGAGGTTAGAACTGGCCTAAAAGTGTGAATTTACTAACAGTGGCAGGTGGTGTGAGTGCTCCTTACTCACATTCATTCCTTTTTTTTTTTTATTGCATTTTAGGTTTTGGGGTACATGTGAAGAACATGCAAGATTGTTGCATAGGTACACACATGGCAGTGTGATTTGCTGCCTTCCTCCCCATCACCTATATCTGGCATTTCTTCCCATGCTATCTCTCCCTAACTCCCCACCCCCTGCTGTCCCTCCCCCATTTCCCCCCGACAGACCCCAGTGTGTGATGCTCCCCTCCCTGTGTCCATGTGTTCTCACCTTCATGCTTTAGCCCACGTGTTTATTCTGTGGCAGGTTAGAAAGCTGGTATTGGTTTTCAAAAACTTAGCTTAGCTGCTGTGTTTTATCTTTATGCGTGATTTTTGTAGGTGCCTTTTAAAAGAAAATCTGAGAAGTGTTATTAGGCATTGCTCTAAGCAGGCAGAAATAGTTGTAGCCTATAAACCTCACACCTGTCCCTACCTGATCTGTAAACACTTGGGTGATAGATGCTTTTATGCCGGGACAAAAGAAATCAGAGTTCATGTAATTATTATGGGAATTTTGAGAGAAAGGAATATGTGTTGTATCTGTGTTACATTCCACAATAGTCAGTACAAGAAGTTTGAAAGAAAGTGAATGATAAACTATGAACACAGAATGAACAGAAATGGAAAGATCATCCATACAAAGTTACTAGGCAATGTAACTAGTCAATACAAAGTGTGATACTCATATCATTCCTATAGCAATAATCTTGTGTTAATATTCTACTTTTTTTAACCTACAGGATATGAATATACTGAATTCCATGTGTCAATAGAGCCCAAAAAAGTCATTTCATAATCATGAGAATTAGGTGCCTTTTAAACTCTCCTGAAGTTAAATTCTAGTCAAACTCTGACCTCAGATCTATTCTGGAGCCTGTAATATGTATCCTTATTCTTCTTGGCCCTGAATATATATATATATATATATATATATATATATATATATATATTAGCACTAAAGGTGGATTGGATAAATTGGAGTAAATTTTTTACAAGATACTTCTACATGGGTAGTGCTATAACACTATCTGAAGTTAGATTGTGTTTTTTTAGAAATATATTGCACTCATATTTAAACACTAAAAATAGTTTTTAAAAACCAATGGTGGGGGTAGAATAAATCATAAAAAATTATCCAAAAGCAGGCAGGACAAAGGATAAGAGAAATGAAGAACACTGAATAAGTAAAAATAATTAACAAAATTATAGATTTTAATCCAATTATATCAACAGTTATATTAAATGTAGGTTGACCAAATATACCAGTTAAAAGATAGAGATCATCAGATTTGACAAAGAAAAAAATATGTTATCTACAAGAAATTATATTTAACTATAAAGATATAAGTAAAAGTAAAAACATGGCCAAAGATGTAAGCACAAATAAAAAAAAAGCTGCAGCAGGTGGCTGTATTAATCAGATAAAGTACGCTTAAGAACAAAGAATATTTACAAAGGTTATGGTCAATTCTCTGAGAAGGCATAGTGATTCCAAATGCATTTGCCACTAATCAACAGAGCTTTGGAATATAGAAAGCAAAGCTGATAACAGTGAAAGGAGAGACAGACAAATTCACCATTATAGCTGGAGAATTCAACACTCTTATCTTGGTAATTGTTATAAAACAGAAAATTAGTATGAATATAGAGATCTGAAAAACACTATCAACCAACCTGACATACTTGATATCTGTAGAAAACTCTAACAAAGCAATAGTGAAATATTTTTTTTTTTTCAGGTACATGCACATTCACCATGCTAGACCAGATTCTGGGCCATGAAAAAAAAAACTCAAATTTTAAACAATTGAAATTTAAAAAACCATAATCTCTAATTCTCAAAGAGTAAAAATGAGGGCTTAATAAACATAAATAAATATAATAAATTCCCAAATATTTAAAAATTAAAAAACACACTTAGGTATAGCCACTGAATAAGAGAAAGCTACAAGGCACATTAGAAATATTTTTAGTTGGATGAATATTTAAAATAAAGTATGTCAGAATGTGTGGGAAACAGCTAAAGAAGCACACACTTCGATATCACCCAGTATTCCTACTTCTTAGTTATTTACAAAAAATAAATTTTAATTTGCACATACAACTGTATACAAATATTTAAAGCCATTGTATTTACTGTTTTATGTATATCTGAAAAACACTATCAACCAACTTGACATAATTGGTGTCTAAGGAAAATCCTATAAAAACTACAAACAAATGTCCCTCAACTGGTGAACTAATAACCATTGGCCTAGAGGGGCCTTCTTTACAGCTTTTTCTTATTTTTCTTTATAGCTCTTTATCCTCGTATTCAGGCTGAGGTGTCTTAGAACAAAAAAATGTTCTAAGCAAACAGTGAGCAAAAAAAAATGTGTTGAAATTCAGTTTTTTTAGACAAATTGAGCATTTTAATATATTTTACTGAAACAGTTACCCCACTTACCATGCCAAACCATGGACAATAGATTATAGCTTAAAAGGCTTTTCATTATACAAGTCTACAGAACAGTGATTTAAAGTAGTGAGATTTGGTTTATAGTGATTGATATTCATATTCTTTGTATGTTGCTTCATAAATTTTGTGATTATAGACCAAGTTTTGAAACTTATTTCAATATTAAATGTCATTTACGTAGAAAACTGAAAATTCAGAGCTGTGGTTGTTGTTATTATTTCTAGTGGATTTTGGCTTATTAATTTATTTGGTGAATATCTGTAGTTTGTATTGCCTTAATATCAGATGACTACAATTGTCCAGCAGAGATCTGTGATAAAAGGTTCTTTGCATTTGTATTTTTGGCTCGATTCAAAAACCATATCAAACCTTACCATGTTGACAAAATTGACCATTCCCCAAATTCGGTTCCTTAATTTATCATGAGGATGAATATTCCTGCGATACTGGAAATATAAATATCATATTAACATTCATTAAGAATAGGAGTTGCATAAAAGCTCACCAAAATACTTCATTCATCATCAGAAAAAAAAATCATTGGCTTAATGTATATTCTCTTAATTATCAAATACATTGCAAACATATTTTCCTTTATGGTCATCTTGTCCACGTTTAATGTTGAACATTTTCTGTTTCAATAAATTTCTTAATTTCTTGGTTTCTATTACTCCGTACACTCCTGCTATTTTATTGCGCATTTCCATTATCTCCTTAAATGCTGGATAATAAATATATTTCACAACAGGATTTCTATTGATTGATTGATAAGAATTCACTGCCTAAAATTGACCGTGGAGAAAGATTCAGAGGCTATCTTAGGGATCACAAAGATCAGGTACTTTGTCAATCAGTGATTTTCAACCAGAGAAGAGGAATGAGGAATGGTTAGGTGTGAGATTTGCACTTTTATTGACAAATCTTTATTTAATGGTTGGTGTTTCCCAGGATTCAGACATTTGTGTCCTGTTCTTTTTTTTTCAACTTGTTAGCTCTGGGAGCATCATCTATATCCTCACTTCACTTTCCTGCTGAGAATTCCTCACTATCTTCAAGATATGTAAACATCTCAACTTGTTTCCAAAGACTGCCTTTGGTTTCCTTATTTTATACGACTGGAATGCTCGAATTTTCTACCCTTCCCTTGCTTTCTTGCCCTTTCTGTTATTGTTGTTCCTTGGGACAAGGTCTTGCTCTGTCACCTAGGCTGGAGTACAGTGGGGTGAACATGGCTCATTGTACCCTTAACCTCCTGAGCCCAAGTGATCCTCCTGTCTCAGCCTCCCATGTAGCTGGGATCACAGGTATACACCACCACACCCAGCTAATTTTTTTTCTTTTCTTGAAGTGATGGGGTCTTTCTCTGGTCTCAAACTCCTGGTCTTAAACAATCCTTCCACCTTGGCTTCCCAAACTTCTGGTATTACAGATGTGAGCCACCGCACCTGACCTCTGCTGCCTTTTTATTTGGCTATCATATATATCATTAATACTCAGAATCTAGCATATTGGATGTTCATTAACTATTTGTCAAATGAAAATGGATGACTTACCACAGGAACTTCTCTAAATAAAGAAACCCTTAAATATTTTGACACTATTAAAGCCGCATGTGTAAGAGCTATACATATAAAGCCCGTTTTAATGCAGCTAAAGTCACACCAAGCAACCCTTCTCCTTAGTATCCGAGTTAAAATTTTAATAAACTCTTCTTAGTCTTTAATAACATATATATTATTATTATTAAAATTTAACACTCATGCCTTACTTACAAAGTGTGAAATTGTGACTAACTTTACATTCCTAATCTAAAATTCTGTTGAACATTTTAAGTATGATTTTTTTCTCCCAACCTATTATCCTTGTCTGATATTTTAGTACTCAATTTAAATTATACAACATATTGCATTAACTGTTTGAACCTACTGTTTTAGAATCCTATGTCTTCTTTTGTTTAAAACATATGCTCTGTTTGTGGTTTACTTATAGGCAATCTATCTCCTTCTTATAGTTGATTTTTAAAGGTTTTTTCTTTGTCTTTGATATTCAGACATTTTTCTCCATGTTATCCGATTTACTTATTCCTTTACTTCTAGAAAATTCTCAAGAATTGTCTCTCATTTGTCATCTGTCATCCAATCAATCTCACTCACTCTTCATAAACTTTGTATTCTGAACTGATGTCTCTTATATTCTCTTTTACAGTTTCCAACTTTTTATTTCTCTGGAGAAATGGTGGTTTCTCTAACTCCTCCATTCTTTAATTCACTAATTCTTTCTTCACGTGTGTCTAATCTTCTGTTTAATTTTTTCAATGGTATATAATTTTTCCTTTTATAAATGTTAAAACAAGTATGCCTGCCCTTTTGTCCAGTCTTTTCTAATTATTTTAATGTCATTTTTATTCATCTTTACACCTTTAATAACTTTAAACATGTAATGTAATGTTACAGCATAGTCTGAAATATCACTGGATGATTTACAGCTCCTGGTGAGCTTATTCTCCTTTTCTTTAAATTGGTTGACTCTTCCTCATGTGGTTCATTTTATCTTGGATTATTAAAAAGTCATTTTAGGGCATTTTTGACTTGACCTCCAGCAGTTTTGCAGGCCTCTAATAAGCTTTTATATTTAAAAATTTGCTTGGCAATTCTGCATCTGTATAAATATATAATATCATGTCGCACATCTGTGCATAACACAAACACGGGATTTGTTTTCCCCTGTGTAACATTTTACCTGCTCATGGCTACAGGAAGACAGAAAATTTCCTTCACCTCTTACAGTTTCTGCGGCACATTTCTAGTTCCCTTTTCTGAGAATGATGCAGAGGACTCATTTCCAAGTTTCAGTATTTTCTTCTCATGAGGTTTAATTTCTTGTCTCTTTTTGTATTCTATATATCGGGGTCACCAAGCCTTTGAATTTTACTTACTGCTCTGATTGAGATTTTCTTCTTCATTTTTAGTACTTGGAGATTTTCCACTTTTTCTTTTGAGCTTAACAATAGTTTGCTAAAATATTTTCAACATTTTATATGTCATTCAGCATTTCCATATGTTCTTAATGGGGAGGAATGTTCTATTTTGGCTCAGTCTGCTATTGGGCAAAGAACCCCACAGTCTCTTATGTGTGTCTGTTTTGGGAAGCTAAAAGTAGGACTTGAGCCTAGATTGGAACTCTGATTAGAATACCTTTTTTTCTATGCTAGAATCATAACTACAAGTTCTACAAGGAAGAATAAAGAGAAAAATATTCAGTTGAAAACTTACCACAGTATCATCAGCAACAATGAACAATTCAACATACTTTTCATTGTAGATGCCCTGTAAATTTAAGGAAAATTCAGTGAAATATAATTAATACCTTTTATCTTAACCCTTTAAGTTGGAAAGAAAAACCCTAATATTTTCATGGTAAGAAATGTTAATATTATTGATACAAAAAGGGAAGGCACATGAATATATAAAAATTGTATGAATTTATCTAAATGAGATCTACTCTATGATTAAACATGGGGTCCTATGCACCAGATTTTATTATTATGGAAACAATGTTTCCTATTTGACTTTCTTTTTTACGTTCCTTTTTTTAAGATTTAATTTTTTAATTTCCAGGGTCCATGTGCAGGATGTGTGGGTTTATTACGCAGGTAAACATGTGCTATGGTGGTTTCCTGCACTTACCAACCTGTCAGCTAGGTATTAAGCCCAGCATGCATTAGCTCTTTTTTGTACTGCTCTTTTTAGGTTTTCAGATCAAATAAGAGTTGTAGATAATCATAAACACATACTTTAACATTTAGGGTTTTTTGTTTTTGTTTTTGTTTTTCATTTACTGAGTAAATGCTTCATTAGTAAGCTCATGTGAAAACATCCATCTGTACCTGAGAGTTAAAACATCAGCTGTACTAACAGGACTGACTACATTTCTCCCAACCTTCAAATTTGCAGTAGTCTCAATTCCAAGGAAACATGTATAAGTTTTGTTATTCATAGATATTTTGTTTTATTTTTTATTTTTATTTTGAGACAAGTTTCGCTGTCACCCAGACTGGAGTGCAGTGATACGATCTTGGCTCACTGCAATCTCCGCCACCTGGGTTCAACTGATTCTTCTGCTTTAGCCTACCAACTAGCTGGAATTACAGGTGCATGCTACTACTACCCGGCCATTTATTTTGTATTTTTAGCAGAGACAGGATTTCATCATGTTGTCCAGACTGGTCTCGAACTCCTGACCTCAAATGATCTGCCTACCTCAGCCTCCCAAAGTGCTGGGATTACAGGCTTAAGCCACCTCGCCTGGCTGATCTTTTATTTCTATCAAACACCAATATCAGGAAATTCTTCTAAGTGTTCAGCTTTCAGTATGCAAGCACTGAGGTACGTGCATATTCTCTGAGGACAAGCCGGAGGTAAACTGTTCAGAGATTTGGCGAGACCATTTTTCTGTGGACTAAGTAATCATTTATTTGGTGATTTATTCAATCAAGAAACATTCATTTGACATCCAGTATGTTTCAGACACTGTATGAATCATGGACATATGAAGAAGAAAAACAACCATGTAGTTTACAGGCTAACATCCACTAGGAATTTAAGGGGATATGGATTTGTTCTACAGAAAAGCCTAAAGCTCCAAGGAGTACATTTATGCAATCATCCCACCAAAAACTGAACCTGTTTTATCCTTAATTGTTAAAACGTTTGGATGATAAGAAGGGAAGAACATAGCTGTTCATCAATAAATGCAAAAAATGGCAGGGAAGACAAGGAAAGACAGTATCTCTAGATTAGGTTTTAGGACGTTACAAATTTCATTATTTCCAACTACTTATAGCCCCAATGCTTTCAATCTACATGTAGGATTGTAGAATCATCCTTTTTGGAAACTGATGAAACAAACTGAGATTTAATCTATGAAATAAATACTTTTTACATAGATAACAAAAATGAAAGTTTTCAAATTTCAAGTAGTAGATGAAGTGCCAGACTCAAAGTAGCACTTAGATTTCACTAGCTGGACGCAGACTTTCTCGTAGGCATAATCAAGAAAATAAAAAGTGTTTCATATGGGGTAAAGATGATTTAGTAATAAATTACTCACTTTCATTTTGTAGTCTCCTTTAGATTCAGTATCCTCTGGGACAGTTTTCCTGGTAAAATTAAGCTCCATACAGGAAAAATTGGCAACAAAAGGCACCCTTGGGTTATATTTGAACACCAAATGTTCTCCCTCATCTGAATATTTCACTGGTTCAATGAGGTATCTTTGGTCATTTACTCTGAAGAATCCCCTGTAGAAATTGGGAACACAATGTCTACTCAAGGTCTATAACTGCTCTATTTTATTTTATTGACTTTGCCTCTTCACGAAAGAGAAACTACAAAACCAGTGCTTCATGAACATGCAGGAGGGTGCTTTCATTGGTAAGGAAATGTGATGATACATAACCTTTGACTGAATCAGTACCTTTTTTCTAAGAGTCAACTTACTGGATTTTCAGAAGTTTAACAGTCCAATATCTGCTTTGAGTACAGGTAGAGTAGCAAGTCCCAATGGTGGTTGTGAACCACTTAGGAGTTATTGCAAAAATTTTGTGAGTTTCTTTGTCTGTCTTGACATGGGATAAATATGAAAGTAAATTTATGAAAGTAAAAATACTAGTATGTGATCATTGTGTCATTAAAGGGAGTTCTCGTTCTTGAAAATACTGAGAACTATTCAAGTAAATTTCTCATAATTAAAGACAGAGCTTCATTCTTGTCCTATTCTTTACCTCTCCACATTGTCCTTCTTTGTCTGTGATGTATAGAGAACTATAGGCTTTACTTCTGATTTTTTACTTTCGAAAGACTGTAAACACAGTTTGATTTAGTAAAAACCTAAATGAGTTGAGCATTATTGTATAATGGGAATTTACAAAATTCTCATTAAAAAGACCTGGGTTTTATACTCAGTTTTATCGCTAGCAAATGGAATATTCAGGAGAAAGTCTCTAATTTCAGTCAATACCCTGATCTGCAAAATGAGAGGCCAGACTAAATGATTTTCAGTAATCTTCCAAATGTGAATCCCTTATCCATGTACTGCAAAGCTTGTCTTGTTCAGGACTATGCATTAGACATCTCTTTGTCAAAACATAAACCACAGACTACAGCTGAAACTGATAAAAATCCACAGTAGCTTTTGTCTCATGAATTTTTCTACATACCAGGACTGATAAAACCAAATCAACAAAGTTAATTTCTTTGAAAATCCATAGGAAACTCATAAAGAACAAAGAAAGACATTCTGCATTACCTTAGACCATTACACGTACTGATACTGGCAGCTGAATCATATTCATGTACAATGGATCCTTGGTAAAAGCAGTGATCCTAAAATAAAAGAAGACTCTATTACTTTATGTATAAGTATTGATATTATGCAAATTTAATATATAAATAGTTTTTGTTCAGAATATATCAACATTTTATTTTGACGAATTGCATTGATATTTGTTCATGCATCTATTCATTAAATTCTCTCATTTGGAAATATTTGAGCCTGCTTCAGAGACCTTTTACCTTAATTATGTTATTATTTTGTGTAAAGCAAAGTATAGATCCTTCCCCTAAAAATTAAATAATCTGTTAGTGATGACAGTAGTTTTAGAAATGTGGCCCTTTTCCTTAGAAATATTACTTCTTAATCCACAATACAATTTTTGCCATAGTAACCTTTCTGTGATAATATAATTTTTCCCAGTTGCCCATGAAATTAAGCCAAATGCTTGATTATCATTAAAACTAGGTCCCCCTCTCCAACCAGTTCCCCTAATGCCTTTCTCTCCTGCCTCTCTGCTTCAATCAAGTTGGTCTCTTTGTTACTGCCTGCTGGATGCTCTGCCCATGGTAGTCCAATCAGGTAATTACTTTTCCCATTATTTCCATGTGTTCAAATCCTGTCTATGAATGACATTTTTTATGGCCCTCCAGAACCTCACACCCTCACAAATAACCCACTCCCTGCAGAGAAGAATGTTACCCAGTTTTCCTCTTGTCCTGTTTTGAAGATTGCATGAAGACTTAGCTCTCATAGAAGTTGACAGTTGCTTTAAAAGGAGGAAATACATTTTTAAATGTATAGTTTTGATAAAATTTTAAAAAAGGCAATGTTCTTGGTAGAAGGTTACAGAGGACAAGTTTTGGAAAAAAGCATTGGGGGTATAAAAATAAAATCTGTAAATATATTTTATTAAAATTAATGGAACAATAATAACAAATGAATGAAAAATCATTTGAGGATTGAAGAAAAGACCTCAACATTGGTGCATCAGAAAAACTGGGCAAGGTGGTGAGAATCACATAAGGATCAATGAATGGAGATTTTAAAGTTTTTCATAGCTTCGGATTTTATCCATTTAGCTTGATCACAGTCTCATAAGGTGCCTTATATTTTTGGTGTCTTGCTTTACCCTCTTTAGACTTAACACCATATTGAGTGTATAGAAATCAGTTTAGGAAAAGAAAGATATATTAGCAGTTACAGATTTGCTTGTTAGGCAGTCAGCAGCTTCCTTCAGGGTCCACAGGATTATATTTTTTACTCTAAAATTTTTCAGTGAGAGTAATCAATTCAGAACTTATTTCCGACGTAGTACTTTCTAGAGCAGCTTGTACAGCTAGAACAGGGTCTCTAGATCACATTAGGAAATACTGCTTTTAGAGAAGAGACGTAGGAATGTCCCATAAGATACCGTGATCTGAGGATGCCTGGTGAACGCTTCTCCTTTCATGGAGTAGAATGTTTCACTGTAATTTGAGCCTAGGAACTCCCTGAAAAAAGAGGGCAGAGAGGTGGTGAGATTTGTTCATTTAAAAATCTGACAGATAAAACCAATAATGTGATGGAGAAGTGTCTAGGTTGCTTCTAAATCTCAGTAAGACCCTCTTCTACTAAAAACAGTAAAGCAAAATCAAGCCCACTGATAGAAAAAGGCTTTCTTCCTGAATATAATGGTTCGTAAAGACTGTAGAAAAGCTAGAAAGTAAATTCTGGCAGTTTTAGCAAAGTACTATTTTTTAAATAACTTGGAGAAAATGTTATCTAAGCAAAAATCTGAGACCAAAATTAATGCAAAATACATGCATTAATATATGTGACTAATATAAGACATCATAAGATAGATGTGATGAATATGTCTTAGTATGTAATAACCTAACAGCGACATATTTAGATAAAAGCAGTGTATTAATTATAATAAATTCATATTAGCAATGCTATATTTGGAATTGAGCCCAATCAGTCTGTCTCCCGCGTGGCAAGACCCTACCATTGCAGTGGTCTCTATGTCTATAGTGATGGACCTGAATAAAGCCTGCCTTACAGTGCTTTAACAACTGTCATTGAATAATTTTTCTTTAACATCTTTTTGGACTACTCATGGCCACTTTTTGATACCAACCTGAACATAAGAAACTCCTAGATTCTTCAAAAATCAGTCCAAAACATACTTCCTGATTCCATCAATCAGATTTTGAGATTCCTTCCTAAGGTATATTTCACACTTCCAAAGATGTTCATTTTCACGTTTGCCACATTTTTATTATGTATTTTAGAGGTCAGCAAACCTTTTCTGTTTAGGCGAAGATAATAAGCATTCAAGGCTATATGGGCCACGTGTGTGGCTGCTATTACATGTTCTTGGTTTCATTTTTATTTTTTGTTATTGTTGCTGCTGTTTTGACTCCAAATATCCCAAATTTTAAATATTACTCTCAGATTAAGGGGTGTACATAAATAGAAAACATATCCAATTTGACGTACCAATATTGTTTGTTCATCCCAATGTATTTCATGTCAGTCTACCAGGTTACTTGTAACTACCTTAGGAAAGGGACTTTTTCATTTTCATTTATTTGTATCTCCTGGTTTCTAAGATAGTATTTGGAATATTAAGAATGGCCAAGAAAAAAAAATAAATAAATGCTGAACTAATGTTTAAAATGAATGAAATAAAGCATTTCGCTTCTGCTATGGCTGAATAAGCTATTATCAGACAGACATTTGATGTATAATTTTTTAGTTCTGGATAAGATATATAAAGAAAGTACCTAAAGGATCTAGGCACTGAGCAAAAGCAGGAAGACTCTGAAGGAATGTCAGCATCCTTAGGGAAAGGAAAAGAGGCAGGGGGAAGAAGGCACAGCATGAGATGTGAAGAAGCCACAGCCTGAGAAACAGAAGAAGGCACAGCATGAGATGAGCTTTCCAGTTATATAGCATTTAGCATGAGGTCAGGCTGAAGTCTACCTTATAGAGAATGAAAAAAACTCTGCTGGAAAACCACTGTTGTTCTGATTTGAAAAGCCATATAACAGGATTTGGAGTAATCACAGTAATAGGAATGTACACAGAACACAGTAATTGTTTACAGAAATGAGGATTCTCCCTGCCCTCTCATGGGGGAAAAAAAAATGAGAGCAAGGAGAATCCTCAGTTCTGTAAACAAACTCAGTCTCAAATTCAGAATTTTTCCTGAACTATGACATGTGAGGGATAGGCTAAAAGTAGCCCTGCTAAGAATGAAGAAACTGAACTATAATTTGAACTGCCATCCAAAATACAGAATTTGCAGTTTAAGTCCAGCAAAGTTCATCTCCAAATAAAATGAAAATATCAGAACTTTTCAGCAGAACAGCAGAATTCAGAGCCTGTTTCATATAATGTTCAAATTGTTCATAATTCAAATTAACACAATGAAGAAACATAAAACATTGAATTACTGTCAATGTACAACTGTGGCAGATAAATGGAAGTTATATTTTTCAAAAAACAAATTGAAAATCTTATAACTGAAAAATACCTAGATAAAAGTTTTACTGGACGTACTTAAAATAAGAACACAACTGATAAAAGAAAGAGTTGACAAACTCAATGAGAGATCAGTAGAAGTTACCTAACCTGAAAAAGGGTCAGAAAAAAAAAAGTAGAGCTTCAGAGCCATGTAGGTTATATCAAAGATGTAACATACTGATAAGTGGAGTGTGAAAAAGTGGGGAAAGGGTGTCATAGAAAAAAAAACAGAAAAGTAGTAGCAGAAAATTACCCAATTTGGTAAAGACATAAGTTATAATTTCAAGAAGTTCAGCAAACATCAAGCAGCACGTATATGAAGAAAGTCACTCCTTTGCACATCACTGTCAGATTGCAGAGTATCAGAAATAAAGACAAAATCTCTAACCCAGAAAGAGAAAGACAACACGACACATACTGAGGACAGAAATTTACATGACTGTTAACATTGCATTAGAGACTGTGGGCCAGGAGAGAGGAGAACATCATCAATCATCAACCTTTCTTAATACAGAAAATCGGTGAACTCAGAATTTTATATACAGCAAAATAGCCTTCAGGAAGGAAGACAAAATAAAGGCTTGCAGATAAAATAAAACTGAGGTAAATTTTTGTCACAGATCCATGCCACAAAAATTGGTGTAAGTTCTTCAGTCTGAACGAAATTACAACACATGAAAAACAGAACCTCTAACAAAAAGGGAGAGCTAAGAAATGATAAATAAATGAATAAACTAAAACATATTTTCACATAAGATACATATAAAGGTTTAAAGCAAAAATTATAGTCATGCATCATGAGATTAATAGTGTATATAGATGTGTGTATATATACGACAACTTTGTACAAATAAGTCGTATGCGTAAGTGAACTTACTTCAATGTATTTGCATTTTACATAAAACGACATGATATTAACCATAAATAATAACTTAATAATTGTAAGTATATGCTGCAATCTCTAAAATGAAAATTAAATATAATGGAGTCATTGTTATGAAGTTAACAGATTAAAAAGAAGCCAGTAGGTAAAGTGAAAAATAAATAAAGTAAGCCAAAGTTCAAAGGAAAAAAAAAAAATAACAGAGGAGATAAACAGAAATGAAATAACTCCAACCATACTAACCATAACATTTAATGTAATGTTAACAGGAATGTTAATATTAACATTAAATGTTAACCTATTAAAAAGGAATAACCCTAACATTCAGTGTTAATGTTAACATTGCTCTTAAAAATCAGAGATTATTGGAATGCACCAAAAATGAGGATCAAACTAATTTCTGTCTTACAAAAGACACATTTTAAATGTAAAGACACAGATACATTGAAAGGAAATGAATAAAAGAATAGTATCTTATTTATATATTAAACATAAGCAGACTGGACTAGCTATGTTAATATCAGATAACAAACTGCAAAATACACAAATGATTGGCCTAAAGATACGTTTTAAAAATTCAAACAAATACAAACATTGGTCATTAAATAACATACTTTAAAATGATTCGTGACTCAAAGAAGAAATCCCAAAAGAAACAAGATATTTTGAAATAAATGATAATAAAAATGAAACATATCAAGATTTTTGAGATGTATCTAAATGAAGACTTGAGGGAAATGCTATGACATTAATATTTTAAATACTTACAAAATATTAAACATTTGTATAACCAGAGAAAAATAAACAATAAGAACAAAAAAATAATGCAAATAATAAAAGAGATCAGTGAAATAAATAGACAACCAATAACAATTATTCACGAAGCTAAAGAAAAGATCAGGCCAGGCATGATGGCTTACTCTTCATAACCCCAGCAGTTTGGGAGGCCAAGGCAGGAGAATTGCTGGAGCCTCAGAGTTCAAGACCAGCCTGGGCAATGTGGTGAAACCCTGTCTTTACAAAAAGTTTTTAAAACAACTAGCCAGGCATGATGGTGCATGCCTATAGTCTTAGCTACTTAGGAGGCTGAGTTGGGAGGAAGACTTGAGGCTGGGAAACTGAGGCTGCAGTAGCCATGATCATACCACTGCACTCCAGCCTGGGAAACAAAGTGGGACTCTGTCTCAAAAACAAAACAAAACAAAATTAACAATAACTAAATAAATAAAAGGTCAACAATTGATAGCCCCTTTTAGGTTGATCATGAAGGAGGAAGGATCCAAATTACCAATGTTAGAAATTTAAAAAAATGTTATCACTAAATAAATTATTACATTTTAAAAAATTATAACATGATTGTATGAAACACTTTGTGCCAAAAAATGGAGCAACTTAAGTGAAATAGAACTTTTTCTTGAAAACTGTAATTTACAACTAATGCACGATACATTAGAAACTTTGAATAACCCCTTATCAATAAACTTGAATTTGTTATAAGACCTCTTTCCTATGCGTACACAAAAATATGCTCAAGGCACATGCAGGTTCATTTATAAATTCTGTCAAACACTTTGAAAATAAATAATTTATTTTAGAAAATATAGGAGAGAATATTTCCCAACTCAGGAGCCCAACATAGTTTATTATCAAAATGTGACAGATCTATTGCAAAAACTAGGAACACAGAATAGCAATCAGTAACATAATTTCAAAAACCTTTAATAAGATATTAGCAAACTAAATACAGTAATTTATCATAAAATAATGTATCATGAACCAAAATCATTGTATACTGTCATATGGACATTTCACTGGATTCAGACAAAATAGTTTAAGCAAACTTTTCAAGGAACTTTCTTAATCTGATAAAGTACATCAATGACAAATGTACAGGTACTGTTATATTAATCATTTAATATTGAATGCATTCCCTTTAAGATCAGGAGAAGCGTAAGGTTCCCCTCACTCCTTTCTAGTAAAATTGTAATGAAGATCCTGGCTATTGTCATAAAGTATAGAAATAAAAGAAATAATAATCAGAGAGGAAGATAAAACTATCAGTATTTTTAGATGACATGATGGTAAATTTCCTAGAAG